TTGCCTAAAATTGACAATTTTTAGTTTTTTTGTCTGAAAATTAAACAAACCCAAATTTCATGTCTTCTAAATGTGTATACAAAGTTTAAAGTGTGTATGTTTCTTCTAAGTTGTAGAATTCTCCCGACAAAAGTCCCATTATACGCGCTCCGCGGGATCCAAAACTCCAAAACTTTTGCGTTTTCCAGTTTTAAATTTCTTACATATCTAAACTTGTTAGGCTTAAAATTTATTAAATTGTATTTTACTGACTTGTTATAAGACGTTTCTTGAGTTTTGTGCAAAATATAGAATTACCAGATATTAGCGAACAAAAAGCAAGCTTATCACCAAGTTGGAACTTACACTCAGGCTTAGGATTAATTTCCTAACATTTTTAAAGTATACCTATTTGTGTATTTTTTGTGCTCTTTTCGATGGCGAAGTTAGTTTTTTCAAATATATTTTTTTTGTTAGATGTTTTCGGAAAACCCGGAAAAAATCATATGGGAAAAAAATTAAAAAAAAAAAACTACGCCTCTGGTTTCCTGCGAATTCCCGAAAAATTATGTCAGATTTCGCCGCGGGACTTATTTTATTTGAGAGCCAACAAAAAAATACGCAATTTCTCTCATGTGCACATATGTCTAACATTTATAATTTCGCCACAAATTCATCGCAAATTTCATGTCCATGGTTCTGATCAAAAAAACGAAAAAACGACTTTTTGGTAAAAGAAGTTCTGGCGGCGAGAAATTCGCCATTAAAACTACCTGTGCAATGAATTTCCGAACTATTTTTGCCTCCTCTTTCGAATGGTGCATTTATTTTCACTATCGGAATGATACTTGCCCAGATAATTAGCATTTTTACAATGGAAAATTCTGGAAAACCCAGTTTTTCCTAATTTAAAAAAAATTGAAAAACTGCTACATCTTTTTTTTCTTTTTTTCGGAAAGATCACATCAAAATACACAAGGTAGTATGTTTATCTGAGGAGCAAGCATGCGATTTATGAATAAATCAGTATTTAGGTCCGCTACGCTTGCTTTTGCACTGCTGTCACACTTCGAAATTATTAAATGCGTACTTTACTGATAAACACTATACTCGTACAAATATAATGGTTGCAACGAGAAAAACATAATAAAACTGATAATAACTGTGATTAAGAATGAATATATAATTTCCTAATGTAATTTTGAAAGCCTTTTGTGCGCTTTAAAGCCTTATATTTAGTCAATACCGTGTAAGGGGTTTTCTCGCCACAGAGAAAACGGTTCCTTACGAATGACGCTGGTTACGGGCGGTTCTCGAGCGCCAGATTTTTGGTTATGGTTTACTCCACAAACTCTCGAAACGGCGTCGAAAGTACTCGGGTAGCTACAGATGAAGATGAAAAATTCCAGGGTTCAAAGGTCACTTAGACACAGGTAATAGTTAGCCACAAGTAACGGGCTTTAGCTTGGGCTGGTACAGAATTTATCACTAGCTGAAATACAAGGGGGAAATAAAGTATGGAATTAGTAACCAGTAATACGGCAAGTTAACATTGACACATATATTGTTTTCAACTATTTACAACATAAAAAAAATTATATATTTCAACGCCCACCCCAGTTGTGGTGATAGTCAATATAACCCTGAACAAAAAAATAAAGAAACAAAACGGACGGTATTGAATCCCGACTAGTCTCAATCAGACGTCAAAATTGAATTAAAATAAAATGAACGTTTCGGTCGCAAAAAATTTTTATTAACTTGGCTATTTACTCGGTAATTAAACTAAAACTTAATTTCCCATTTCGGTAAGGAAAAAAATCCTCAGAGCAGTCGTAGTAAAAATTAACTATTTAACTGTTATATCGGGAATCAAACTAAAATGTAGGTACTTTACTATTTCGGTAAGGAAGAATTATCAAAACGGTCATAGAGAGTGCGAGGAGACAGGAACGCGAAATAACTACTTATAGTAAATATACGGAAAGGGAAAAAAAATAAATTTATACCCGGAGTAGCCTATTATCTCATAATGAGCTGATCGTCACCACGAGCCCACTCAGACAGGGTAATGAAGCTATTTAAGATTTTTTTAATTTGCAATTTGCGCGAAAAAAATGAAGAATACAAACGGAATAAGAAAACTAACGCGGATAGCACCTAGTCCAAAAATGAACTGATCGTCATCACGAGCCCGTTCAGACAGGGACAGGATACTATTTAAAGTTATGTAAATTGACGGTAAAAGAGAAAAACAAACTATTATCGGAGGGAAGAAAATTACTAACGCGGATAGTACCTACTCCAAGAGCAAATTTAAATTTTTTTTTGCACGGTTGAATAGAGCTATCACTCACCACCCCATGCCATTTAAATTTTTCGAAAGGGTTGTTCCCCTCGAGTAAGGGATGAAATTAAGGGTAAACTAATCATACAAAAATGTACATTGTAGAAAACAAAAATCGACCTGTCTCGGCGATTTTCCTAACAAGACTCCAGTAACGAGTTAGTTAGGGGGGGTAAGACTTAAGATTCTCACTGTATATTAAATCCTACAACGAGCCAATATTATATAAAATATGAATATTAAAAAATATCTTGTTTGACCATTGAAAACAAAACATTGCGTGAATGAGAGGACCAAAGAAAAAATGTGTGGGGTGCTTCTTGGCTAATTGGGTTTTCCTTTATGACCAACTTATAAACATTCTATTGAATACAGATTCAGAAATACTATACATCGAAACCTAGAGTTAGAGAAAACAATATCAATTTATGACCAGATAAATTAAGAGAGAGTGCACTATCTACCGCAGGCGATGTTCTGCTCTCAACCGAGCGAGGTAGCTCTGCGGTAATGTAATTGCCCCGCATTCGGAAGGTAGTGGGTTCGAGTCGCACTGCTACCTGAATTGCTATAAGTTTTTCAGTTATTTTCTTATAGCAATAGGCCAATGCTGGTCAGTAACATCTTCTCAGTTACCTACCACCATTCATTCTAACCCATCCTCTCAGACCCGACCCCTGATCAATCCAGTGTTTGAAGAAGCTAGAAAAGCCTATAGTGATCCGTTCCCAACTGGGAGATTGAAATACATATTCTTTACATTCTTACAGATGTGTAATGCTGTAGCAGTTTTATTTCCGAATAAGACTGCATTCTCGAAAAACCCTGTACCTACAATTAAAACAATACCTACTTTTTTTACATTGTATGGTATGGTAAACTCAATTAACACTTTTAGTCAGTTTGATAAAAAAGATTGGCAAACTTGTTTGTTTTGTGCGAGACATGACAATTACCTCAACAATTACCTACCATTAAAATACATGAAAGTCTTCAGTTCAAATATCAGACGCACGCTATGTGACATTTTATTATAATTCGTTTAAGCAAATTGGCGGTTTACGTGTATTAAATTAAGTTAAGTGTATTGATCTTTGAGTTAAACAAATGATAAGCATGACACTTTAGGTTTACGGGGCTGTATATTAAGTTGTGATCATCGAACAAGAAGTGTGAACATTATTTATACATCAGTCTAACCATTTATAGATAAATATTGATTATTGTTTTTATTTATTCATTCATCTAAAGCTATTTGTAAGTATTTATAATTATTTTATCTAAGTTTTAGATCCTCCTTACTGTTGTCTATTATTTAGTAAAAATATACTGTACAAGTGTACAACCCAAATGCGATATGGCCATCATATCCACTCTTGTTGCACAAACTACTATATTTTAATTATAGGTAATCTATTTAATTTATTAGTAATCTTTCATAGTCATTTGACAAAGTTATAATTTGTAAAAAAATGATGTTATGAATCAAATGCAAATTAAAAAGAGTTAGCATAAAATATGTCTCATTCGCAATATAATTTTTCAGTATAATCGTTTCCTACGTACGTGCCTATTTCAGATTTTAAGTAATTCCTCTAAAACTAAATCTAACGGTATTAGGTAGATCAGTAGACCTATTAGGCCACTGTATTGTATTTTATAATATAACCTATAATTATTTTGACGCCTACCAGGAAGTTCTGACCAAATCTTATGGTACCTTTAACAACCCTTTTACATGTTGATATGAAATACCACCTTAAGATTGGGGTCCAGTTAAGAGTTTTCTTATCAAATATAACACGATTGCACATGTATTAATAATCTTTAACTCATTCCACTTGCCTGTGAAGTAAATGTAATCATGAAATGAGCCGAGTTTAGGTATGCTCTATTTTGTTTTAATACGAAAATAATTATACATCTAGAACGTATATTATTTTTTATTACTTGACGCAATAAAATAAAGAGAAAAACAATATTTTTATTATTAAGGTCTGAAAGAAACCATAGGTATCATTCTAATAATTATATATTATCTTACATTTTTTATTTTTATTATGGCACATTAGTTGTAAAATGATACCTCTCAGGTAGTAGTTTTTAAGAATTGAATCTTAAAAATTCCAAGCGAAATAAATTTTAAAGTGTTTTTAGCGCCTTTTTTCCGTTATACTTTAACAGTAATTTTATCTTCAGAAACTAGTTTCTTATCTAATCTATACAAGCTTCCGTCGAGTAAAATAGAAGGGGCAAACTGTACCTAACAACTACCGCATTGTATTGTAGATAACTAGTGTTAGAGCTTTGAAAAGCATTTGTATCGTTACGTACGTATACAATTTTACTTAATACCTACAAATATTTTTCAAGTTATCTTTCAATATATCCTAATAAAACAAAGAACATATGGCAACGTTGGTTTCGCTTAACACTTACCGAAAAAATAGTACCTCTTGCAATTTTTCAATTATTCTATAGCAACAGTTACCTAGACACGTGCAAATTTCAAACATTGAAAGTCAATGTCTCGCCAAGGACTAATCTCAAAATTTACAATCCACAATGATTGTAAAAAATGTACGCAGTTTCTATGTAAAAATAAGCGATTAAAATTAATATCTTTTCTAAAGCGACAATACCTAAATCTAATCTCAATTTATTTGTTTTGCAGCTTTTTCCAAAATGGCTGCCATGATCCGTCCCCTGATAGTGTGCGGACCATCCGGCGTGGGAAAAAGCACCTTAGTCTCGAAAATTCTGGAAGAGTTTCCCGATCGTTTCGGCTTTTCCGTTAGTCACACGACGAGACAGCCACGACCGGGCGAACAAGATGGCGTCCACTACCATTTCACGGATCCGGAAACCATGACACAGGCCATAAAGGAGGGCAAATTTTTAGAAAACGCAGTATTCGGTGGCAATATGTACGGTACCAGCAAGAAGGCCGTTGAAAAAATTGCCGCTCAGGGTAAGCATGGGTTTGCTATAAAATTATCGTAGTGGTATATCTCGAAATCCACATGTTGAGCTACTTACTTTGCAATTATTAAAACGAGTTTTTCAACAAGAGTTTAGAATGTTGACAATAAATTATTATTATTATTATTATTTATTATTATTAATTAATGTCAGTAAGCGAATAAATCGATGAGACTGATCTAACGTTGAAAAATCACGTTCATTAATTACAACATACATATTATCAATACATAAACAGAACAATTATCACAATACAATAACCTATATCACAGTTTATCACAAAAGTTATGCGGTATAGTAGAATATGTGAAGCAGTTTTCAATTCTTCAGCTAGCCGTATTCTTGAAATGATTAATTGAGACAGTGTCCTCTTGCAGGTTGTTCCAAGTGTATACCACCCGGTTGCTTATTTATATAGAGTAGTTTCTTTTTTGAAGCTTATTGCATTAATTTAGGGGATAAAAGGATAATCAGCAACATTGTAGTTTTGCTAAGACATTTGAAGATTATCAACCACAATTTGACGAACACCTACAACCAAACGACCTGGACGTTCATGCTCTGGTTTTTAATAACTTGCACAGAACCTGTAGTTTGAAATTTCTAAACTATATTCCAAATAGCTTTTTCTGTGGGACGATTTTGTATACCAAAGAAATCACAAATTCCACAATATAAGATTGTAAACACGTTGTTTCTAGGATATATTGTATTGTTATAATTGTCCCAATCGGCAGAATTCAACAAAATAAGGAAATGTAAAAAGGTTGCGATAAGAAAAGTATACAAAAATCATTTGCAAACTCTTACTAGAATACCATATATTAATAATGTCAAAATAACTTTTTTCCTGAATTTGTCAGCAGTAATAATAATAATAATAATATGCATAATTCTCTTCCTATAATTCACCTCCTTACCAGCGAACCCATGAAGTTCTGAAAAACTTGTGCTAAGAGGGAAGGCTATTATAATTTGCCGTGGCGCTCCGGGGCAGCTTAGGAAACTTTCATCTATCTTTAATATTAATGATAGGATTATTATTGTCTGTAGACACTGTAGCTGTTCCTTTGAACGCTTTAATACTTGTTCTATCACTAGCTTGGGATTGTACACTTTTTTTCATAGTTTCTTTTATTTCTTTACTTTCGTTCATATGTTGTTTCTCTTCTGCCCTGGTGTTTTTTTACTCATTTTCAATTTTCACTTAATTTTTTTTAAATAATGTTTCACTTGATCTTCTATTTTTTCGGCTTTATTTTTTCTATAATCTATTCTACTGCGATTATTACTGGTTCAGATTGTCAGTTTAGATACCATGCTCCAACTGTGTCCCTACTGAGCTTTTTTTATAGTTCATCGCATTTGACACATAGTATGTGCTAAGTCGTAGCATGACAATTAACGGGATAGTGTCATTTCGTATTATGTATATAATCTTAACAAATATATACATATTAAATATTCTAGATGACAGGAGCACATTAACGTAATCGTTTAAGTTGTAACACTCGATTTCGGGGTAAGTTCAAGTAAACTTTGTTTGGACTGTAATAAATGTCAAATTAATCATACTGATACTGCCACAGTTAAACTCGAGTCATACAACCGAACTTTTGCATTTTTATTTGCCTTGTTTCCTAGTTGTATTACTTGTTGCATACACATCTTTATGTTTGTCGATTATGTGTTTGGTGATTATCCCCTTGTTCACTAATTGTAGAGCAGAGGTTTTCGTTATCCCAAAAAACTGAGGTTCGGGTCCTGTGAATGGTAGTTCTGAGTCATCGAATTCATCATCCTTGGATACCTTTATTTCCTGGTACCAAACACCCAAGCTAGTTTTACCTTATTGTGGGTTACTAGATCATTAAGTATTCCAAGGCAGTTCTAGACTAGCATTGCTTTGCTAATGTGTAAACCAAAGGCCTTTAAGGCTGTTTGGCTGACTGACATAATTTATGTTTTGTTTTTTGTACTTCCTGTTCTCTCTTACAGTTCAATTAAAATACAGTAGTGTATTCCCAATGGATGTCGCATTTGGGAGACCAGCTAAACATATTTCATGTTTTTATTCAGATGGTAAAATAAGTTCCTCAAGGGTCGATTTCGAGACCTTTTCTATTAATCATATATTATATTTTCGAATTTTCAGGTAAAGTTTGTATATTGGACATCGATGTCCAAGGAGTGATACAAGTCAAAACCACAGATTTGAACCCCTGGAGTATATTTATAAGACCGCCTAACGTGGAGGCTTTGAGGCACAGACTGACGGGAAGAAAGACGGAAACAGCGGAGAGCTTGCTCAAAAGGCTGGGAAAGGCGGAAGAAGAAATCGAATACGGGACGCAACCGGGAAATTTTGATCTTGTCATCGTCAACGATAATGTCGAAAGGGCTTACGGAGAATTCAAACAATTCATAGTCAAAAATGTTTTAGTATTTAAGGGCAACGGCCATTTGTGAATGCTTTTATTATCAGTATCATTCCTTTTGTATTAAATAAAATAAAACGTTTAAAATATTATCACTGTGTTTCATTTATCTGAATTTGAGAGGTATCTGCCTTCTTATTTTTTAAACTGTGCTCATTTACACGTTTTACCAGTGTTATAAACACACATATTTGTCAAGTTATAGGTATTGTTTCAAATATTGCTGATTGTATAAATTCGACGAAGTAAAAACAGCGGACGAGGCATTATTAAATGTTAACAGAACAATGATACAGAGTGTCCCAAATTGGATAGATTTTCACGGTAACTCGAAAACTAGGCAGTCAATGAGAATTAAAAAGGAAATGAAAAACAAACTACATTAAAGTAAGTTTACACACATTTCACTGTGTAATATTAATTAATATTTTTTAGGGTTAGAGGCTATGGCATTTGAAGCTGTGTTGTCAAATTATCTTTTATGAAAAAGTCTCTGAAGTAGAGAAATTTATAATTAATCCATAGTGTACAAAAATGGCATTACTATCATTTCTGATATAGTATATAACAAGTGTAAACAACTACTTTTACACAAGGATGTACAATATTTTTTCTACGACCACAAAATAATGTTATCAAAAAAATATAAAACCAGGAAATCTGGCAATGAAGGTATCATCAAGATGCTTTAGATTTGTTTTTATATGCTTGATTGAATAAATTTTAAGATGTTTTATACAGATGGTGTTTTGTCAAACTTAAAAACATTATGGTTCAATTTACAAACAATTTCATAAGATGATAAAGATAAAATTATTAACTTTAGTTAGAAAAAAATATTAGAATACAATAATGTTTTTCATTAGTTTATTTTTTTATTATTATTGATTACTCACTTATCTATTCACAATTTTTTTCTGAACCGTAATTAAAATAGTACAAAGTAAATAGCGAAAAGATTAACTATAGGGATTATATTATGATAAATAACATGTATTTAAAATACTTAAATAGCATTAGTCGTATTTTTTCATATTTCATTTTTCCAAAATAAAAAAAATTAAAAAGGTGCTTCATTGGGAATTGAACCAACGTCGCAACATGGTCGCGACATGCATTTGAAAAAACACTACCAGTTGCGCTCAGGGTTCACTATATGAACCAGAAAAAAACAAAAATTACTTTAAATCTTTCAATAATTTGTTAAAAAAAAAATAAGATCTAGGTGTAAAAATTAATGTTAACAATTTAATCATCAAATTCTATTTTACTATTAATATAAACATTATATAAATCAAAATAGAAATTATACGTCTGACATATTTGACAGCTTATGCGAAAAGTAGATTCTTATTCACATACGGGTGGGAAGTAGATTCTTATCCATACGCGTGTGATATAGAGCACTTCCTATGAGACTAAATAGTTCGATATGTTACTTTTCTAAGTGGTCGAAGGAAAAATAAATATTTTTCCCTCTGTCTTAATTTTTGACATATTATTATTACTCTTTGAATCCCATTAACCAAACTGTTTTATTAAGTTACAAGAATGTAAAAAAATAGGAAAAATTGTATTTTTGCTGCAACAATGTTTTTATTTGGAGAGTATTTTCCGTTCATCCACTGTTTTATATTTATAATGAATGTCCTTTGCTTTTTTCCGTGTTTGACATAGCCTAAAACTTATGGATCGTTGATTTTTATTATATTCAATATTGAAGATCTTCCTACCTAAAAAATATCTTAAAGCCTAATTTTTATCCGATCATTTTCATAATGTAATGTAAATACATTTTCTTCGTGTTATTTCTGGTTACTTTATTGATCATTTTTGGCATTTTGAATTTAATACTGATTTTTATTGAATTATAATACACAAAAGATGCTAACGAAAAAGTAATGACATTCGTTTAATTTTATGATTTGTTGGTGGTCAATTGTTTGCGTCTTCTTTTTTTTGTTTGTTAGCCTTTGTCCAATAGCTCAACAGGTATCCATATTTTGATTGGTTAAAATTGGGTAAGTATATGAAACTGAACGAGAATATTGATACACCAATCTTAAATATAGCATCTATGGAAGTGGACCTACGATATTATTCTTCTCCGAAAGATTACCTACGGTATTCCCCCCCAACGGTCACTTATTCAGGTTAAGACAAGGTCCTAAAAGTAGGATTTAGTAAAACGTTGGCTTTGTAACGTTGGCCGGGTCGTATAACTTTTCTAAGTTTGACTTACACCTTTTTAATTTAAACTTAAATCTAATTAATTGGGATATAATCTACTCACTTAATAATGTTGATAACATGATCTCTTTTTTAAATGATTCTCTAATACATCTATTTTCCAGACATGCTCCTTTCGTAACTAAAAGAGCAAATAAACCACCTGCTCCGTGGCTTACAGATACAATTAAAATTATGATTTCCCTCAAAGCTAAAGCATTAAGAAAATATAAACAAAATAAAACTATGTCTGCTTTGAGAAGTTACAATGAACTTAGAAACTACACGACCGGAGCTATACGGCGGGAAAAGAAGGCTTACCTTGAATTCGTCCTTAGACAAAAAAATTCAAAAAACACCTGGAGTACTCTTAGATCCTTAGAAATACTTCGAAAAAAAAACGAGCCCAGATATTCCTGACAATCTAAAAAATGTGAATGCTATAAATGAACGTTTTAACTCTGCACCTATGACTTATAAATCTCCTGATCAATTAACACTACTAGATCGGTACACTGAAGTAGAATCACACAACTTATTCCAATTTGAAACCGTTACATCAGGCATAGTCGAAAAATCACTTACTCGAATTAAAAGCAATGCCGTAGGCCTAGAAAATATCTCATTGCGTATGCTTCATCTAGTTCAGGACTGTTTACTTAATCATATAACATTCATATTTAATAATATAATCTCCTCCTCCCAATATCCTTTTGCATGGAAACAAGCCCTTATCGTTCCTATTGCTAAGTGTAATCAGGCAACGAATTTTTCTAATTTAAGACCAATCAGTTTTCTACCCACTTTATCAACCTCATTTGAAGCAATTATCAAAGAACAAATTACTAGGTATGTTTATCAACGAAACGTAACTCAACATCAGTCAGGTTTTAGACGCCACCACAGCTCTACTACTGCTCTTCTGTCTATTAGCGATGATATTTTTAAAGCAACCGATCAAGGGAAAATAACATGCTTGGTTCTTCTCGACTACAGCAAGGCCTTTGATACCCTAGATCATGACTTACTCTGTAAGAAATTAAACTTTTTCGGCTTTACAAAAAATGCAGTCTCCCTCATATCAAATTATCTTAGTAATCGCACTCATAAAGTAATTTTGGATGGCAACATATCAAATTTCCTACCAGTAATACAAGGGGGTGCCACAGGGTTCAATTTTAGGACCAGTCCTATTTGCTCTGTACATTTCTGACTTCCATAGCTTTGTTCAAAATTGTGCGATTCACCACTATGCTGACGATACGCAGCTTTATCGATCTTTTGACAAAGAGTCGCTGGGTAATTCTTTATTTAATATATCTACTGCTCACAACTTAAAAATAAATCCGTCCAAATCTACAGCAATGTTATTTGGTGCAAAAAAAAATATAAAATCAACTGTAGATCAATTACAGATTACAATTGGTGGCAATGTTCTTCAGTTTGTAAATAAAGCCAAAAATTTAGGACTGTGGATTGATTCCGAGCTTCAATTCACAAAGCACGTAAATTCATTGTTGCAAAGTTGTTTTACTGTTTTGAGACAACTATTTCCTAGCCGAGACTTACTTTCCACACACACTAAGCTAAAACTTTGTGAATCTCTTATTTTTTCAAAGATATTTTATTGTGACTCTATTTACGGACCTGCGCTATTTCGATATGACTCTCTACGTTTACAAAAAATTCAGAACTGTTGCTTGCGTTTCGCGTATGGCATTAGAAAATTTGATCCTATTTCACACAAAATGATCGAATCAGGATGGTTATCTTTAAATAACTATGGAACACTTCACTTATTAACATTAGTTCATAAGACATTAAAGCTTCAAAAACCCGATTATTTATTCAAAAAGTTAATAACGTTTTCAAATATAAATACATTATCTACGCGCAACAGAAATATCTTAGTCATACCTAAACACCAAACAGCATTTTTTAAAAGATCCTTTTCTTATGTAGCATCCAAAGAATATAACAAACTTGGGCCAGAAATTAGATCCTACAATTTAGTTAATTTTAAGAAGCGTCTAAAAGAGTATCTAAGAATAGAACCATAAGTAAATACAATTATTAACAACAATTCATGGCAACTTGTAGGATATGAATATTGATATATTGAATTTATAAATTAATTTGGCCAAAAAAAAAAATAATATGTATGTTTTTTATTTATTTTTTCCACGATTTAAATATGTATTTTTTTTGTTAGGTTAAGTTGAAAAACAGTGAAAACTGAACTTCGCCCTTTCATCATTTTTAAATATGTTTTTCCTCGCATAAATTACTGTTATTGTATATTTTCCTTTTTTTAAGTGATGAATAAAGTACTGTTGTTATTATTATTATATTATTATTATTATTATAATTATAAACTGGCATCGCTGATATAATTCATTGTGCAAAGCGTATTGAAAAGCGTTCGATAGCCTATACTGTATAATATAAATCGATTTGTACTTTTATATTTCCTAAATAGGGAATTGCGCATATTAAGTTAGTAATAATAATAGGTGCTCCTTAAAAAGATACTTGTCCTCAAGGAATTACATATTCCAGGAAAGCTGTAGCTATGGTAAGAAAAACATTGAACCTCCAATTACTAATGTTTCAAATATATTATATGAGAAAGTACAAGATTGTCAGGTAGACTTGATTAAATAAATGTGTTTATATTAAAGACAAAAAGCGAAGGAAATACATTTTCAGGTCAACCATTTTTTAGATAATGTATAAGTTAATTCGTAAGATAAAGATAAAATGTTAAGTTCAATGGGCTAGAAACAGTTGTGGCCCGACTCTCAGTAATAGAAACATTTAGAACGTAATATACATATTCAAAGTGGCGTTAGGACATCCTGTA